AGGGTTTAGGGCTTAGATTTCGGCAGCATTTGCCCTTCCCCACCTTCTCCCTTGAACTGACTCCAACAAGCTCGCTGGAAGAGGGTATATCGGGCTTTAGGGTCCCTAAGCCCTAAACCCTATATAAACCCTAAACCCTAAACTCTGAACCCTGAACCCTAAACCCTAAACCCAAACCCTGAACCCTAAACCCTAAACCCTAAACCCTAAACCCTAAACCCTAAACCCTAAACCCTAAACCCCAAGCCCTGAAGGCACTGAAGGCCCTGAAGGCCCTGAAGGCCCTGAAGGCCCTGAAGCCCCAAAGCCGCTAGGGTTTAGGCAGCCCGGAAGCCTAAAAACTCCGAACATAAAGCCCTAAAGGGTTCAGGGTTTAGGGTTTAGGCTTTAGGGCCTTCCACGAAGTCCGTGTGATGAACTTAACATGTGAGCCCTAAACTGTACACAGCTCCCCTATGGTCCCTGAGCCTTGGACTCCAATCCCTAAACCCCAAACCCCAAACCCTAAACCCTAAACCCTAACCCCCAAACCCTAAACCCTAAAACGCATCGAAGCCCTAAAGCCTCGAGCCATGCAGCCCAGGTCCCGACGTTCAACTGCCGAATTTGTTCCTTTCATCCCGCAAGACTGGGTTCTTTGGGTTTAGGGTTTAGGGTTTAGGGTTCAGGGTTCAGGGTTTAGGGTTCAGACTTCAGGGCTTCGGGTTCAGGGGCTGAGAAGCTGAAATGATTTTAGTCCCATAATGACGGGGCGTAGTCAGTCTCCCTGGGATTCGGATGACTGTCTAAAGCGTGGGTGTGGGATGTCTCTGGTTTGGGGTTTAGGGTTGAGGACTGAGGGTTTAGGCCTGCCTCCATCCGGAGATTCAAAGCAATATCCCGAAAGCCCAACTTCCTAAACCCTGAATCCCGAACCGCAGAGCTCTGCACCCCATGCACGGTGCTAGGCACCGCAAATTCTTAAATTCCAAACTGCAAGACGGATCATCCCTCTCAGACAGAAATATGTAAATATGTTGATACATTGTGTTACACTTGCTACTTTGTGTTATCGGATTAACATGTATATTCGTATATATTCGTAGCTATGTTTATAGGTATGGTTTTGGGAGCCTTTTGATTTGGACTTGGTATATTCGGAAGTCTTTGCCCATCTCTCTCTCTCTCTCTCTCGCTGTGCGTCTTTCTCTCTATCTCTTTCAGTGAATAAATAAAGAACACACATATATATATATATATATATACAATTTACATACACATGTGAGGGTTTCATTTGTTTTCTTATGTAGCTTAATGTTTATAGACAAATAGATAGGCGCCTGCATATGGGGAGGGGAATACTATTGGCCATTACTTTGCTGCCAGTCCTCGGACTCAGTCAGTCCCAGACCCCCAAACCCAAATCGTTTCGGGTTTAACTAGGGTTTATTGAAATGATTAAGGGTTCAGGTCCGGGGAAGTTTCGAGGAGTTTCGAGGAAAGTTTCGAGTTTTGGTTTTTGCTTAATAATTTCAAGTTACAGGGGGCTTGAAAGTTTAGAGTTTGGGGTTTGGGGTTTAGGGTTTAGGGCTTGGCATTTAGGGTTTAGGGTTTAGGGCTTTGGGTCGAGCCCAGGCTTTGAGAACCTGCCCATCGCGGAGAGGTCCACTTTCCTGGACGCCCGGGTTGAAGCGTTTGTTTTTTTTTTTTTTTTTTGGGGGGGGGGGGGGGGGGGTTCGGGTTTAGGGTTTGGGGCTTAGGTTTCAGGGTTGAGGGTTTGGGGTTGAGGGTTTAGGGTTTGGGAGTTTGTGGGTCTAGGGTTAGGGTTTAGGGTTTGGGGCGCCAGTTTGGGAGGTTGCGATTCAAATCTTCCGGAGTCTACCTAAAGCTACAAGCATGGGCCCCCTTACCAAATTTTTTAACTATAATTAAGGGACTTATAACCTAAATTGGGATCCTTATAACCTAATTTTAGGTCCTTATAACTCTACTTATGACTAGGGGGGCCCTCCTTGTAGATGCCTCCGCAAGAACCTCGCAGGCGCGCTTGGTTCTGGTTTCTTGGTTCGGGTACCCCAACAGAGCCGAACATTTAGGTTCAGGGTTTGGGGTTTAGGGTTCAGGGTTCAGGATTTAGGGTTTAGGGTTCAGGGTTTGGGGTTTAGAGTTTAGGGTTCAGGGTTTACCCTAAACCCCACAGGTGTGGTGCTTTTGGGCCGGTGTTGCTCATGGCCCCATTGCTTCACGCGAAAAGGGACGAGAGGTTTGCGACTTGGCCATCTACAGTAAAGCCAAAAAACCCTCCTTCAACCCCAAACCCCAAACCCTAAACCCTAAACCCGAAACGCTGGACCCAAAAACCCTACGTAAACCCCAAACCCGAAACAATTTAAGTCCCTGCGAAGGACTGCCACGTGCCAGATCACGCCTGCTGTCGTGAGTGCACCAGTCTTTGGATGAAAGGACCTCGCTGGCTGTGTGTTTAGGGTTTAGGGGTTTAGGGGTTGAGGGGTTTAGGGGTTTAGGGGTTTAGGGATTTAGGGGTTTAGGGGTTTAGGGTTTAGGGGTTTAGGGGTTTACGAGTCTAGGAGTTGAGGGGTTCAGGGCTTTAGAGGTTCACGGGTGAACTTGTTTAGGGATTTAGGGGTTTAGGTTTGGGAGTTTAGGGGTCTAGGGGTTCAGGGGTTAGGGTTCAGGGTCTCGGGCTTAGGGTTTAGGGAAGACTCTGTGAGGGTTTAGGAGACAGGGACCCTCTCGGCTTCATTCTTGAAGCTCTTCCTGTTGGATATTGGATTCAGGTCTCATGGGAGTTCAGGGCACCATTGGCTACATGAACTAACAGAAGAAAGGCACCCCGATTCCCAAAAAAAACAACATGGCTGTTGTGCGGCGTAAATAAACCCTAAGCCCTTCAAACGATTCAATGACTCCTAAGCCGCCTAAATCCTACACAGTCTACACAGGGTCTACACCCTTAAAAAATCCTTTAAGCCGCCGAAACCTTACAAAAAACACCCTAAAGCCTTAGAGACCTTTTAAACTCTTACCGGCTCAGCTTTTAGGAAAGTCTTTATCGATACCCTGAACCCTAAACTCCAATTCAACACGCTGTGCCTTCAATCAGGTGTCTACAAGATCCTCGCAAATTAAGCCCTCAACCTCGTACAGTTTAGGTTGGGTTTCAGGGTTTAGGGTTTAGGGTGTAGGGTGTAGGATTTAGAGTTTAGGGTTTAGGGTGTAGGGCCTAGGGCTTAGGGTTTAGGGTGTACGGTGTAGGGTTTAGAGTTTAGCGTTTAGGGTGTAGGGTTTAGGGTTTAGGGTTTAGGGTTTGGGGTTTAGGGTTTAGGGCTTAGGGTTTAGGGTTTAGGCCTCAAGGAAACCGTAAACCCCATCGGCCCCCAAGCGGTTGCCGGCGGAGAAGCGCCAGGACTCATCGAGAGTGGGCAGGTTCACAGCATCGCCTGCCAACGCCTTAGCAAATCAGGCTTCAGAATGCCCTTTAGCCCTAAACCCTAAACCCTAAACCCTAAACCCTAAGCCCTAAACCCTAAACCTCAAACCTGGACCCTCGGCCTTCAAACCCCGAGAGTTCCAGGATCCCAACCCTCCACAGGCCGACCCCGAACCCGGAACAAGCTATGTGCATGGAGGGTTTAGGGTTTAGGGTTTAGGGTTTAGGGTTCAGGGTTTAGGGCTTAGGGTTTAGGGTTTAGGGTTTAGGGTGGAGGGTTTCGGGTTGAGGTTTATTGCAGGGTCTAGGATTGCGGGGTTAGGGGTATGGGGCGCCGTGCTCTGGGAGAGGCACCAACAGGGGCCCATAACTTCGGATCAACCCCCCCACGTGCCATCCTCCGTGCATAGCCCTAAACCCTAAACCCTAAACCCTAAACCCTAAACCCTAAACCCTAAACCCTAAACCCTAAACCCTAAACCCTAAACCCTAAACCCTAAAAAAACCCAGACCCAAATGGGTCCAAGGCTCATTTCACGCTGGGAACTTCTCCTCAAGGGACTAAAGGAGGGACCCTTCTTAGGGACCTTAGGGGTTCTTTTTTAGTTATGTAGGGGCGGGACTATATAAGGGTTACAAGAAGGTTTAACCTAGGGGAATAGTATTAGATGTCCCTTCTAGGGGTCCTTCCTCATACCCCTTAGTTCTCATTGTTACCCTAAACCCTAAGCCCTGAACCCTAAACCCTACGAGTTCTTAAGAGGTAAGTTTGGCGAGCAAAAGGTGCCTTATATGCCCCGACCAAACCCTGCAAGGGATTAAAAGGGGAAAATGTAGGGCTAGGGTTTAGGGATTAGGGATTAGGGTTTAGGGTTAGGGTTTAGGGTTTAGGGTTTAGGGTTTAGGGTTTAGGGTTTAGGGTTTAGGGTTTAGGGTTTAGGGTTTAGGGTTTAGGGTGTAGGGTGTAGGGTGTAGGGTGTAGGGTGTAGGGTGTAGGGTGTAGGGTGTAGGGTGTAGGGTGTAGGGTGTAGGGTTTAGTTTCTTCCCGACTGTACCTGGCAGCTCATGTGGTTTCCAGGCCTAAGCCCTCAGCTTAAAACCCTCCATTTTGTTTGTACCCTAAACCCTATAACCCTAAAACCCTATAAACCCTAAACCCTAAACCCTGAATCACACATGTTTGAACACAACCGCTCGCCGACGGCCACACAGTCCTCCGACATCCACACAGCTTGGAGTTTGTTTTGTTTTTTAGGGAGCTTTTGGGACGTGCAAGGTTTAGGGTTTATGCTTGTTGGATTTAGGGGCATCGCCCTGATTCCCTGTTTCAGTCCCTGAGAACTCCACTCGACAAAAAGATGTCCCTCAACTCAACCTGCTCTGATTGTTCCGGCAACCTAGACTCAGCCGCTTGTAACGCGTAACTCGGGCTCAGGTCTAAAACACTCTCGGTCGACGCACGTTAGTACAGCAGCATGTGCGAGGCAAAGTATCCCAATCCCTAAACCGTAAACCCTAAACCCTAAACCCTAAACTCAAGGTTCTGTCTTTTGAGCAGAGACGCGCAGCCATGGCGTCTGCGACGCGTACGGACATCTTCATCCTGGCTCTGCGGCAGCAGGTGATCTTCCCGGCCATGCGCGCAACCGCCTCTCGCACCTGATAATTGATTTGGGATTTGGGATTAGGGTTTAGGTTGTAGGATTTAGGGTTCAGTGTTTAGGGTTTAGGGGTACAAGTAAGGGCCACCTAGATATACATAGGCTTGTAAGAGCCCTAAATTGGGTTATAAGTCTTACTGTTTAGGTCATAACTCGCCCAAGTACCACTATTTGCTTAAGAACCCTGCAAAAATCATAAAGACTCGTCTCCCTCGCAAGAGTATTAGAGGGATTAGTATCTGTTCCGGGGTTCTAAGCAAATAGTAGACTAGAATTAGTATAGTAAGGGTGGCCAAGAAGGCCCTTGGGCAATTTTCGATTTTCCCATGTTGGGTTTAGAGGATGATATCTCAGTAGCTGAGTGAGTCCACTTTGCACTTTTGGGGATACTAGAATTTCTACAAAACTAAAAGTGTACACTTGTTTGGGGCTTATCAACTCAGCAACTAAGATATTTAATGGCTACCGCCAGTGCCCGCCGACCCCCAACACAAGACTTTGAGGCGGTGGGTGGCCCGGGGGGGTGGGGGGGGGGGGGGGGGGGGGGGTTGGGGGGGGGTTCGGGGCGGGGGGCAGCGGGGGGTGCTCGTGCAGCTATGCTGCCATGTAGTTCGTGGCAAAAATCCGCTTGATGATCCTTGCGACAGGGCCCTAAAATCCCCCAGTTGAGGTATAGTTTTAGGGTTTTGGGGTTTAGGGCTTGTTTTGGTTAGGTTTATGATGTTAAGTTTGCATTGGTTCTAACTTTGCATTTGCAACCCCCCTGGAAACTAAAGAGCAAACATCAAGTCCCGGTTTCAAATAGAAATCACCTCTCCATAAAGAACAACACACCCAACAATGTTTGGCGGAAGAGACCATTTCCAACCTACGCTTCTGCAGAAAGATTCCGAAAGAGGCTTGGCTTGCTTAAAGAAGACAGCTGCATCGAGTTGTTGCTGAGCTCAGAGACTGCCCACACCCTAAACCCCAACCCCTCAGAGGAGGACGTGTCAATAGGGTCTGGGGTTAAGGGTTTCTGGGCCCCCTTTCTGGAAGAGGCCTGCCCTTGTTTTCTTAAAACAGGCCCCCAGCCAAGACTGTAGCCCCTTCAAGCCCAAGACCCTCCGCCTCCATGAGAGATTGAATCAATCAAGCGTTGGCTTTGAAGCTTTCAAGGTTTAGGGTTTAGGCTTTAGGGTTTAGGGTTTCGGTTTTAGGGTTTAGGGAGAGCCTATGGGGAAGCAGTGTTTCTAATGGTCCCAGGTGACGGTCTCGCAAGACACCTTCGCGGAGCTATGCGACTTCTGTGAGAAGTCGCTAGGGTTGCATTTGGTCCACTGCAACCGAGGAGTTTAGCGCTTCGGGCAGGGAAGCTTCAACAAAGTAGATGCGGAGTTCTCTCGAAATTATGGTCCGTTTTCGATGGTCCTGTTACGTCAGCCGGAGCCCCCGATTCAGGTACCCAGCAAGGGATCAACAAATTCGATAACTGCCCCTTGACTCTTGTTTCTGGGGCTTGCCGTGTGTGACTCGGATGGCACAGGGCCTGTACGGACGCCGAGCAGCCCTGATTGCATGGGTTTTGGTGTTGAGGGGTTAGGGGTTTGGGGTGGAGGTTTTAGGGTTAGGCCCCCCCTCCCCCCTTGTCCCCCCCCCTTTTACAACCCTGAACTCTACACGCTCTAACTCAGCTGAGGCACCAGCGCACCCACATCGCATGCATCACCATGGCGCCAAATGGAGACTTGCTCCTCGGCCAGGGTTTAGGGTTTAGGGTTTAGGGTTTAGGATTAAGGTTTAAGGTTTAGGGTTTAGCGCACCCTAAGCCCTAAAACAAAGTTTAGAGTTTAGGGTTGTCAAGAGTTCTGCGGTTTAGCATGAAGGGTTCGAAGCACTGGACACCAGAACTCGCGTGTAGGTTTACCCTAAACCTTTGCGGGGTCAAGCCTCAACATGTGCTATTTGCTTAAGAGTCCTCAAAAAAGTTGTTTTTCAAAGAAGAAATTGCTTATAAGGATTAAAGGGATTGCTTTATCTTTTTTGTTGGGGGGGGTTCTTAAACAAATAGTCGAAATAGCAGGTATCAACAAGCCCAGAGTTTGCCGAGACCCCAAAACCCCAAAACCCATCTTCTAAACCCTTAACCCTAAACCCTTAACCCAAAACCCTGAGCCCTGGACCCTGAACCCTGAACCCGAGTCTTAGACCAAGAAGCCTCCCCACTCAAAACCCCTTCATCATGGAAATCCCCGGGCTCCCAAATGCCATGAACCATCCGAGGCGAGAACTGAGGATCCGAAATCCCAAATCCTCGTTTGAGGTTTGAGGTTTAGGGTTTAGGGTTTAGGGTTTAGGGTTTAGGGTTTAGGGTTTAGGGTTTAGGGTTTAGGGTTTAGGGTTTAGGGTCTCGCCTGCAAGAAAAGGCCGGAAAACGGAGGTTTGCGGTGTTGGGTTTGGGGTTTGGCTTGGGGCTTCAGGTTTGGGGTTTGGGACCCCTCAACAGCTCACAAGCGGAGGCACAAAACTGGCACTTGGTGTCGCATTGCCTCGCACCAGCAGAACACCACCAAGTTCCAAGACCACGAGACCACGGTGCGGGGGGGGGGGGGGTTATGGGGCAAACACCCTTAAGCCCTGCCAACCCCTTCAGCGCCCAAACCCTAAACCCTAAACCCTACTAAAACCCTTAAAACAGCAGCCCTGGACCCGACAAAAAAGCGCATGGAAACCTGGAAGGCTAAAAGCCCCTAAGCCTCTTGCGCATTACTTTAGCGGGGATTTGGGGTGCGGCGCTACTAAACCCTAAACCCTAAACCCTAAACCCTAAACCCTAAAACAAGGAGGGGCCCCCGGACCCCCTAGTTATAAGTAGAGTTGTAAGGACCCTAAATTAGGTTATAAGGATCCTAAATAAGGTTAGAAGTCCCTTAACTATAGTTAGTATAGTAAGGGGGCCCCTCCTTGTAGTATACCCGGTATGCACATAGCAATAGAACCCCACTTGTGAACTCTTTTTGGACAAGCCCCTGCACCCTGCACCCTGATTCCCTAAACCCCCTAAACTACACCCTAAAGCCTAAGGTACCACCGGAGCTGAGCCGGATTTCTACGGTAGAGATTCTCACATGTCATCAGAACTACCCATGAACCATCAAGTAAGCCCGAAATCCACAGCCCCACGAGACATTACAAGTAGGGGCCCCCAGTTAGAAGTAGGGCTATTAAGGGCCCTTAGTCGGGTTATAAGTCCTACGATTCACGTTACCAGTCCCTTAGTTAAAGTTGTTATAGTCAGGGGCCCCTACTTGTATGAGCGCTAAGCAGCCCGACTTTGACAGCACGCAACCCCCCGGAAACCCTTCAAGCTCAAACACGTCTTGGGGCTGAGGGCCCCCCAAAAGCACTTGCCCTTCCTGGGTTTGAGAGGCTCCCTAAACACTAAACCCTAAACCCTAAACCCTAAACCCTATCTCATGTCTGAGGCACATCCCAGGGCTTGCTTGGAGGTTCATGGTACTTATTAAGCAATTCGAGAACTGTACTTATAACCCACATATAAGCCCCTTAAGTGCCCTAGGATGGTTTTTAGTACAGTTATAAGTACAGTTATAATTGGTTAATGAGTGCCATGAACCTCCAAGTGAAGGCCAAGCTAGGTACACTTAGAGTCAGGTTCGAGCTCACCTTGATCCTTCCCCAAGTACCCCTTGATAAGGGCCTAAGTGTATCTTAAATGGTGTACTTTAAGGAGGTATCTCAAAGTTTAGGGTACCCTGAACCTAACCCCAAAGCCTAAACCCCAAGCCCTAGATCATGTCGGGCTTGACATCCGACAAACCCTCCCCCCCCCCCCCCCCCCCTCCTTTGAACATCCCAGGCACCCTATGACATTTACAGTATTCTTACTTCTCCAACAGCTGAACTTTAAACTCGTTGGGTTTCCTTAGTAGGGTTTAGGGTTTAGGGTTTAGGGTGTAGGGTTTAGGGTTTAGGGTTTAGGGTTTTAGCCTATTTTTTCCCCTTGGTTATGGGGAAGTAAGTAGTTAAGGTGAGGGCAGCGGAGGCTTGAATAAGCGAAGCCCGAACCCCCCTAAATGGCCCTAACCCTCGACCCTTATAGGCCCTAAGCCCTAAACCACAACGCCCTATACATATAAGTCCCCCAAAACCCCGCCGTTCCCCCTCTCCCCCCTGGGAAAGAAGAACGAATATGGAGGATTCTCGACGTTCCTGGAGAAGCATCCCCTCGCTACTGAAAGAATGTTCTGGAGACATAACGTGAAAGAGTTCCCCGTGATAGGGCGGCCGCCCTGTCAAGTGGGACCGAAATGAGCGGGCGCCAGAAAGGGCTGAAAATGGAGAAGACGACGTTGGCAGCAAACCAAAAGTTCACTTTGATTCCAGGGTTTAGGGTTTAGGGTTTAGGGTTTAGGGTTTAGGGTTTAGGGTTTAGGGTGACTTTGATGTCGGCTGAGAAGAGGGGCATGGCAAGAAGACGGAGGCAATGCTGTCCAGATCTTGGCGGCTGCGTTTACAACTGGAGCCCTTAAATCCCAACCGTGTATCCTAAACCCTTTGAACCCTATAGAGCCCATAAAGCCCAACTGGAGTCCTTAAATCCCAACCGTGTATCCTAAACCCTAGACACCCTTTGAAGCCCTGTAAGGCCTCTAACAACCTATACAAAGCCTATAGCAACCCTCAATCAACATGGAGCCTAGACATCCTAAACCCTAAACCCTAAACCCTAAGTAGACCCTCGAAATCCTACAAACCCTGTAAAAACCAAATCAAGCCCCACAAAGCCCTATAACAGCCCTATAATAACAACCTATAACAACCTTAACCCTAAACCCTATACCCTAAACCCTAAACCCTAAACCCTTAACATGAAGCCCGAAAGATGCGAAACGTGGCGTGGGGAGGTCATCTCCCTGAGCATGGAGGGCCAGTGCCGTCTCCAGGTGGCCGCGCGGCCGCCTAAAGCCCATGAAAAAAAATTGAGGGTTTAGGGTTTAGGGTTTAGGGTTTAGGGTTTCGGGTTTAGGGTTTAGGGTTTAGGGGCTACAGGTAGGGGCCGCCTAGTTACAAACGGGGTGATAGGGGCGCTGACTTGGGTCATAAGTCTTACAACCTACTTGGGTCATAATTCCTTTAGCTGAAGTAGTGGTTGGTTTGGGAGGGGGGGGGGGGGGGGGGGGGGGGGAGGGGGGGCGGGGGCGGGTTGATGTTGTGATTTCAGGGGTTTGGAGGGCTTAGGGTTCAGGGGTTATGGGTAAAAAGCTCCTAGGCCCTAACCCTAAACCCCAAATGGCCCGCTTGTTATAACAGGGATGAGGGCTTCGGATTGGGGCTCTACAAGTAGGGGCCGCCCTCATTATACTAACTTCATTTCAAGGAAGTATCACCTAAGCCCAACAAAACCCTTAAATCACAACATCAACCCCCCCCAACCAACCACCCTAAACCCTAAACGATAAACGATAAACTCAGAACCCTAAACCCTAAACCCTAAACCCTAAACCCTAAACCCTAAACCCTAAACCCTAAACCCTAAACCCTAAACCCTAAACCCTAAACCCTAAACCCTAAACCCTAAACCCCACCCTCCCCCAAGCATCCCCCCCCCCCCCCAGCTCAGGAGAGCTTCACGCAGAAGGTGCCTTGGTAGCCCAGTGGTACCCTTTACCCTTTTCTTTGGTTCTGGGTTCCCTGAAAGTACCCTAAACCCTAAACCCTAAACCCTAAACCCTAAACCCTAAACCCTAAACCCTAAACCCTAAACCCTAAACCCTAAATAGCCCTTCTTACAAGATGGTTACTGGGCTACGAAGGTGCCCTTCCACGTAGGCAACGTGCGCCTGCTCGAGGAAGTTCGGGAGCATCGCTCCTCGGAGGAGCCGAGGGTTTAGGGTTTAGGGTTTAGGGTTTAGGGTTTAGGGTCTAGGGTCTAGGGTCTAGGGTTTAGGGTTTAGGGTTGAGGGATTAAGGTGCAGGGGCTAGGGTTTAGGGTTTAGGGATTAGTTTAGGGTGCAGGGGTTCGAGCCTAAGGATCTAAGCCCTTTAAAGAAGCAGACATTCTTCAACAGTTTTGCTCTTCTTGAACCCAGGCTAAAGAGCGACAAATCGACAGGGCCGGCCTAGGAGGTTTAAGGTCTGAGAGTCTCAGGTCTAAGGAGTTCGGTTTAGGGTTTAAGGTTTAAGGTTTGGTGTTTAGGCTTTAGGGTTAGGGCTTATGGTTCAGTTTAGGGTTTACGGTTTAGGGTTTGGTGTTTAGGCTTTAGGGTTAGGGTTTCTGGTTTAGGCCTAGACCTTAAACTCTAAACAATGAACACACGCCATATCCTAAGACCTCTACCCTGACATGGAGTAGGGTTGTGTTTTTGCCCGTATGGAAATCATGAACCCTAAACCCTAAACCCTAAACCCTAAACCCTAAACCCTAAACCCTAAACCCTAAACCCTAAACCCTAAACGCATAGGGTTGTTTCTTGCCCGTATGGAAATCATGTCCAGCCACCAAATGCACAAGGAACCATGTGTAAACTAAACTCCCTAAACCCCTAGACCCGGTATACCCGAAACCCCTAAACCCTAAACCCTAAACCCTAAACCCTAAACCCTAAACCCTAAACCCTAAACCCTAAACCCTAAACCGTAAACCCTAAACCCTAAACCCTAAACCCTAAACCCTAAACCCTAAACCCTAAACCCTAAGCCCTAAGCCCTAAGCCCTAACCCTAAACCCTAAACCCTCTCAACCCTGAACCCTAAACCCGACCCTCAAGTCCCGACCCCCCGCCCCCCCCCCCCCCCCGCCCCCCCCCCCCGCGCCCCCCCCCCCCCCCCCCCCGCCCCCCCCCCCCCCCCCCCGCCCCCCCCCCCCCCCCCCCGCGAGGAGGTGCAGAAGCTGGCTGAGCAGGTGCAGGCGAACCGAGTTGTAGGGGCCCTGAACCTTAAACCCTGACCCTAAGCCCTAAACCCCAAACCCTAAACCCCAAACTCCAAACCCTAAACCCTAAACCCTAGACGGGCCGGGGCTAGGTTTTGGGGCTTTGGCAGGTTTGTAGGTTTTCTTGACAACCTGAAGCCCAGAGCATCAAGATGGCAAAGGCTTCCCAGTTGCGGATCTCGGCTTACTTGTTCGGGCATCCTAACTGTTTAGGGTTTAGGGTTTAGGGCTGAGGTTTCGGGAAGGAGAGAAAGGTTCGGGCTTTCGGGTTTAGGTCGTAGGGGGTTTTGGGGCTTGGGAAACCTAGGACCTAAGCCCCTCTAACCCCGAAACTTTCAGGGCTGAGTTTTCTGAGGGCTCAGATTGGAGCTTTCTCAGCAGTTGGGGCCTGGGGGGGGGTTCAGCCCCCAAACCCCTAAACGGTTTAGGGGTTTGGGGGTGAGGGTAGCTTGGGTGTTTCGGGTTTGAGGCTTGGGAGGCCCTAAAGCCGAAAAAAAGCCTAAATTTAACGTAATCCCTAAGTTGTTTTGTGAAGTCTAGACCCTGAGCCCTTGCATATGTAACTCTAAAACTCTCAGCCAGTGCACTGCAAAATGGGGGCCTCCCGAAGGACCCGCAGTTCACATGCCCCCCCCCCCCCCTGCCCCCCCCAGATGTAGCAGAAGACGTAGTCCCTAAACCCTAAACCCTAAAACCTAAACCCCTAAACCCTAAACCCTAAACCCTAAACCCTAAACCCTAAACCCTGTATTTTATATCTGTGCATTCCCTCCACTTTTGCTTTCATGTATGTTGCACCTACTTGTGTCGCTCAAGCCCTCTGAGTAAAAAGGATAGGCGCGCCCCTGCTCATGGCTTAACGGATAACAACTGGTGGATTTCCCAAACTATAGGTTATCAGCCGTAGGCTCCCCGGAGCTTGCGGCACCACTGACCTGGAGACTCGACTCAGTGCATGGGTGACAGCCCCGAGCTGGTCCCCACCGAGATAGCAACCGATCTCGGTACAGACGGATTTACAGACGCAGAGTCTGCGGAGATGGAACTCCCAGGCACTTTGGCTATGCCACCGTTTACGGATGGCCGTAGCTTGTTGCCGGAGGAGAATGCAGCAGCAGCTAATGTGTTCGCGCCAAACGCACCTTCTCCTTTTGTAGGACTAGGAGCTCCGCAAATCCACATGTACCGACAACAGTTCCAGCAGAACATCACGATAGGTGAAACCCCTGAACAAACAAGACTTCTCCTCACTGAGTTAGAGCACGAAGCCGAGTCCAGGCACCAGAGGTTCCGCCTAGCTGCTGAAGAAGCCCATGACCAACAAATCGCAGATGTTGAAGAAAGGGCCAACATGCAGCATGAGGAAGTCGTTGCTAGACTTGAGTCTGAAATTGCTAGCCAAAGGTACAGCTTTGTCGCGAAGACCCAAGGACTCTTCTCAGAACTCCAGCAACAAAGCCAGATAATCAATTTTCAGTCAGAACATTTTTCCGATGTTGGTTCGCAGATCACACGTCTCAGGACAACTCTGGTTGAAGAGGCTGAACAGAACAAGAGGGAAAGCATTAACGAAATTGGGGAATGGTTTGGGAGAGAGCATGAGGAGGCAATGAAAAAGTACCGCAGTATAGCCCTGGAAACTGAAGAGCAAATGAGGATCCAAAACATGACCCTCCAAGATGAATTGTCATCAATGGAGCGTGCGCTCCAGCTCGAACAGGCCAGGAACTCAGGTACCAACCCCTCGCAGCAAGCTCAGTTTCCCAATGCCACTGCCCCAGTTGCATCAGTGCCAAGTACCGGGCTTAGTGCTCCGTGTGCCCCTCAGTTTTCAGATCCGAGTGTGATTCCGATGAACATCAGGGCATTGTTTCCAACTTTCAGTTTTGGCGGTGTGGCAACTACTGCCACTCCAACAGGACCACAGGGTCCGGTTTCTGCCCCAGGGACCCCAACAGCGTCAGCTAACGTCCCAAATCTAGGAGTCTCTAGTGGTGGGTTAAACACCGGAGCCCCTGGTCTTGCGGCCCCAACAGGCACGCCGGGTGGTCCGGCAGCCACCGGAGCCGACTTAATCGCACAGACGCAGCAAGCGCTGCTTGAGGCCGCCAAGCTTCTTAAAGGAGACAAAAGCGGTGAAGATGACAAACCAAAGGTTAAAGAAGCTGAAAGCATCCGCCTGCCGGATTTCCCTAACCCCGAAACCTACCGTGCATGGAAAACCGCAACACGGGAAGCAGTTAGGGCAGCTTCAGATAGACCAGATGAAGCTTTCTCTTGAATTCTAGAGGAGTATTCTAAGGATGCTGATCATGACAAGCTTCGTGAACCCGGTAAGTTCCTCACGCTGGATACCAAAATCCTAGCCGCCCTCACTAAAGGTGAGTTATACGCTCCTCACAGTCGTCAAAAACGACAATCGCAGCAGGTTCCAGCTGCGAATTGACCCCAAGCATCAGCTTGCGGAGTACTACGGCGTCGGCGGCTATCCCACCCTTATCAGGGCGAACCAGGGCATTTCCAAAGATGCCATGGTAGGGGTACCCGACGCAATCCTTGCGGAGGCCTGGTTCAGCATGATCCCGGAGGCGGAGATGGATGAACATTCTGCCACCTGGGAAGGTCGGCCGGTTTTGCCCCTGGAAAAGATTCCGCGCAGGCTTTACCACCACACCTACAAGACTCCTGCTTCATCCCCGGGCATCACACGCGAATGCATTTGTGTATTTTGCCGACCGGGAGGTAGGGCCGGGAGAAAATGTCCCTGGCGTGAGAAGCGACCGCCCCGTGGAGGTGGTCGTCAACACCTTGGCTGCTCTCAGGCAAGGCGCTGGCCTGTTCTACTCAAGGTCCGAGGGCGTTCTTTGCAGAGAACCGATTTCTGGATCGACGATTCTCTACATCCGCGACACGAGGACCGACGAGATCTTGTGGTCTGGCGTCGAAGAGCCTGATGAGGAAGAAGAGGAAAATGCCCCTCGTGTAGAGGAGGCCGAATCCTCTGGAAGCATGGCTGTTGACGTTATGGGACCTCTTGAAGGAGAAAAAGAGGAGCACGATGCTGAGCATGAAGAAGCCCCATTGGTCAAGGAGGAATTCGACGTCCCCATTCTTGAGGAGGTCGAGAGCATCGTTCCTGATCGTCCAAGGCCACGTGTTCGCTTCAACACCGACGCCGATGTCATCGAGGTGTCGCCTTCGGGAAGGAACCGTTTGACTGAGGGTCTGCTGGAAGTGGTTCCTGACGAGGGAGTGGCACCCCGCTCTACGGCACCGACATCGCAAGCGCAGCGTCCCGGGTGGAAAAGGGGAATCACGCAGATACAATGCGTCAAATGTGGCAAACTTCGTCTCGAAGGCCAGCACAAGTGTTTCCACTGCGGCTACTACGTCACCCGTGGGGCCACCCAGAGTGCTTTCAGAATGTGGATGGCGCGTGAGCGCTCCCATGTCCTGGACACCCTTGCGGAGCAGTTTGGAAAGGGCCTTTGGGAGTTAGATGCCGCGAAGATTCGCCAGGCCGCCGGAACGCATGATCTGAGGGGACAGCAAAGCGTAGATGGCCGAGCTATCATGTTGGCCCGCCAAAACCTCAAGGGCGCCACGAAGCACGGCTACACTTCCATGGTGGACAAGTTCGATCAGGACGACATCTACGCGGTCCACGCCCTCAGGAACGGCTGGACGAGAAGGCGACTCACTGTTCAGGACTGCGTGGCGTGTGCTTACCTTCCCAACCAAGGCCGCTCACGTGAACAACGTGAGTTGGGCTACGGCTCCAACAAGGCCTGGGAGAACAAGAAGATCAACCACGAAGGCTTGGCTCGCGTGGCGTTTTTCGACAAAAATGCCGACGATCTCGTCCTGGCCGGCCTCATTGACGACCACGACATCGAACCTATGGGGTACGCTTGGCTCGGCAACTTCATGGGCGTAAAAGAGTTCGCCCGGATCATCCGCGTCACCCGTGCGGTCACCAACATCCTCACCTTCACGGAGGGCATCGTCGGCATCCTGGACTTCAATGAGGAAGAGCATCTGGTGATCTATTTGGCCGAGCTCCTCTCCGAGAACTATGGTGGGGCCAAGGAGACGTGCCGAAGGATGAAGGAATCGGCAGAGGCGTCCCGGGCCGCTCAGGCGCGGGCTGATGCACGAAGAACATCGCAAAATGCCCCCCGATACGGGGAGGCCGACTGGGACGCGAACCGGGGCTGGTCGTGGAGCGACGACACATGGTCGCAGAACGACTGGCATTCCTCAAATTCCTGGCGTGATCGCCAGTGGCAGGATCAAGGATCCTGGTGGAGCTCGGGGAGTCGCACTACGGAGCACTCCCGTGGACCTTGGCGCTACGACCATCGCGATCGCAGCTGGTGAGTCCTGAGTTCCGCAATTCTGCTGAGGTAGCTTAGCATCTTGACCACAACGCTTTGTTTTCCTTTTCTTTTGAGGTCGATGCTGAGTGAACCACTATGTTGCATGAGCCACCATTGTATCCCCGCCAGCGTTTCAAATTTTCTTAAGCTGGTGCGTGGTGATCTGTGGCGTTGAACCTGAATTTAAACTCGGGTGAGCGCACTTTGAACATACAGTAGAAAAGCAATACGCAGCACTTAGTGCTTGCCGTGGATTCGTTGACTGCGTTTCAGCATTCACACGCTTCAACGAGGGGGGTGTATTTTATATCTGTGCATTCCCTCCACTTTTGCTTTCATGTATGTTGCACCTACTTGTGTCGCTCAAGCCCTCTGAGTAAAAAGGATAGGCGCGCCCCTGCTCATGGCTTAACGGATAACAACTGGTGGATTTCCCAAACTATAAACCCTAAACCTGAAGCCCTTTGCCCTAAACACCCTTAAGCCTTAAGCCTACAGGTCGCCAAAACCCTATAAACCCTAAACCCTTCAACTGCCCACATGAGCCTCCACCGGGACCGCTGGGAGGATCCAAGAAGAAGATCCCTTTAGGGTTTAGGGTTTAGGGTTTAGGGTTTAGGGTTTAGGGTTTAGGGTTTAGGGTTTAGGGTTTAGGGTTTAGGGTTTAGGGTTTAGGGTTTAGGGTTTAGGGTTTAGGGTTTAGGGTTTATTTAGGGTTTCGGGTTTAGGGACAGGGTTCCTCAATATGACCCAATTCTAGTACAGGGCATTAGTTTGGGGGTTCTGCTTTTTGGATCCTAACCGCAAACCCCAAAACCCCAAAACCCTAAACCCTAAACCCGAAACCCCAAACCCCAAACCCCAAACCCTAAACCCCAAACCTCAAACCCCAAACCCGAAGCCCCAAACTCCAAACTCCAAACCCTAAACCCCAAACCCGAAACCTCAAACCCCAAACCCCAAACCCTAACCCCCAAACCCCAAACCCTAAACCCCAAACCCCAAGCCCTAAACCCCAAACCCCAAACCCCAAACCCCAAACCCTCAACCCCAAACCCTAAACCCCAAACCCTAATCCCCAAACCCTAAACCCCAATCCCGAAACCCTAAACCCCAAACCCCAAACCCTAAACCCTAAACCCCAAACCCCAAACCCTAAACCCTAAACCCCAAACCTCAGTGTGCGATGTTGGGTCGCAGGCTGCCATGCACGAGTTCTTACAGCTGAGCCTGGCTGACAAGCACCAGGCGCGAAGGGATTCTGCACCCTGTGGGCCGTTAGTTCTGACACCCGAAACCCTAAGCCCTAAACCCCAAACCCTAAACCCCAAACCCTAAACGCGAAACCCTAGTACCCTAAACCCTAGCCCTAAACCCTAAACCCCAAAGCCTAAACCCGAAAACGGGGGCTTGAAGGCTTTATGGGGTTGCATGAGGCTTCAGGGTTTAGAGCTTGTGTACTTTGGGGGCTGCAGGGCTTTAGAGCCCTAGGGATTCAGTTTAGGGTTTAGGGTTTAGGGCTAGGGTTTAGGGTTTAGGGTTTAGGGTTCAGGGTTTAGGGTCTAGGGCTAGGGTTCAGGGTTTAGGGCTAGGGTTTAGGGTCTAGGGCTAGGGTTCAGGGTGTAGGGTTTAGGGCTAGGGCTTAGGGTTTAGGGTTTAGGTTTTAGGGTTTAGGGTTTTGGTTTAGGGTTTAGGGTTTAGGGTCTAGGGCCGGACCTTTTTTGGGAGCTAGCTGTGAAGGCTGAGCATTGACAGATATTGACAGGGTTTAGGGGCTTCAGGGCTTCAGGCCATCGGGGTTTCAGGGTTGTAGGGTTTCAGGTTTCAGGTTTTAGGGTTTAGGGTTTAGGGTTTAGGGTTTAGGGTTTAGGGTTTGGGGAAGATCGTCTAGGCCACTTCGAAGATTCCGCAATCGCGTT